GTTGAATTTGTATTCTTTTTGTTTGCAAATAGAGTATAGATTTAAATTTAAAAAGCAATTGGATAATTTTTATGCTGAATTTTATAAAAAAATCGCAAAATATTACATTTTTCACTAATTTGAATGTGTTTTTGGGCTAATATAAAAAATACGTGTGTAAGTCCAGAGTAAAATAGATACATGGCACATTTTTCAAAAATTAAAATGTAGAAACATACATACATACATACATATGTACATACATACACTATTTCTAAACATGAATTTTATTGAATTCATAAGAATGAGAAAGTGTTTTTAAAACTATACATTAACAGAAAAAAATTTTAATACTTATTACGAAAAATAGTATCGCTAAGTGTTTCTCATAAGGAAACTAAATTACAGGCGAAAAACCCGTAGCAACGCTCCAATAAGCCGCGAAACGAAATTGATCGTCAATAATGAAGTGGATCCACAAACAAAATTATAAAGTTTGAAAAACAAAGATTAGATACGTATGTAAAAAACTGCGATCAAGTAAAGCAGAAGGAAAAGAAGTCAAAAAGAATTATTAACAGACAAACATAATGTCGTTAAAGATTAGTTGGCGTAGTAATAACATGATATTTTAAATAAGTAATTAAGTTCTAAGCAAATTGGTCTCGTAGTTTGCAAAGTTATATAAAGCCAAATAAACCACCTGAATCTGATCACGAATAATGGTTTTTAAAATGAAAATATAAAGTTCATTTACAATAGACAAGAGTTTGAACTTTGGCATAGACTAAATTTTTTTTTGGTTAGTTTAAACCTAGCTTATTTGGATAATTCAATATATTTTTGTATATAATGTTACACAGACCTGGAAACAGATGATATCAAAAAAAAAAACAGCGGTAAAATAGGAATTTCGCGTCGGTAGTTCCCCTTAATTCTTGGCAGTCCGATTTAAATAGGTGTATTTTGTATGAATTCAAAAAATCGCTCTTGTTCTCTTTTCAATTTAAAGCAAATAATTATTCAAGTAAAATTTACATAACGTTATTGTGACAACAATTTGACAGTTCGTGTAATATCATCGCAATAAAGATAAACTTGATGTCTTTTACTATTGGATTCATATATATACATATGTATGTACTTTGATAGGTTACGCCGGCAAAAGAAAATTAACAAAAAAAAACAATTTTCACAAAAGTGAAAAATTATTTTCAATATCTTGTATGGATTTCACTTAATTGAATTAAAAATAGAGCAAAAATATTTTTAAATAATATGTAAAATAATGTAAATTAAAAATTAATGAATATATAAATACATGTTTACGTATGTATGTATATACTTACATATAGTATGTACATACATTACATGGATGTCCGTCATATTAAATTGATTAATTTTTGGATTGAAGTTTCCAAGAACAAAAAAAATTAATTTTGTTTTAATTATTTTATTTAATATTTAAGATTTTCTATTTGCATATTTAACAATTCTAATTGCATTATCCAATATAATTTCTTTTGTAAAAAAAAAAACAATTTTTATTTTCAAAATTTATAATAAATATTCATACATATATATATATGTATGTACATATGTACATACATATGAAAGTACATGCTAATCTATTTACACCGAAAAATACAAATTTTTTGAAATAATTTTTGCAAAATCAGGAAAATTTAATATAAAATAAGCGAAATTACAAAAAAAAACTTAAAAAAAATTGCTATCACAAATTTAAATAAGTGTAATTTTGATAAGTACATAATTATGATCACTATATTATTGTTTTGATTAAATGTATTCATACTTTTTATACTACTCTTACATGCAACATACACATGCAAACAAATGAATAAAAACAGATTTATATTGTATCTATATAAAATATTTATTTATAAGCAAGCATATATATGTTTGTAAAATATGCTTATATGTTCTACATAAGATTAATAAATTATTGAGTAAATTGAGTAAGCGTTGCCATATTGTACTTGAATATATGTTCATATCATAAATCGTTTCAATAAGAAAAAAAGCCAAATTTTAGTTTTATTTTCGTAATAATTCCTTTGCGCGTCAATTATTATCGTAAAAGTAAAATATTACAAATTGACATCACATGCATATGTATCTACTTAAAACGATAACAAGAGGAAAATTCACGAATTTTCACTCACTTTCTAATTCACAAAATTATTTTCTTAAATAATTCATAATCTCTTAATTCAAATTGAGAGAGAGCCTCACAACCTTTCCCCTTCTGTTTATGCTAGTGTTATTATTAACAATCCCTAAAAGAATTGATCTAAGCATTGATCTAAGCTATAATTTCTTTTTGTGTAATGCTGTGAATATATTTTTAAAGCCGCTTAATAATTATATTTAAAGAATTTGCTTAATAATTACTGGTTGATATTTCAGTGAAATTGTTAAAATAAAAGAAAAATAAATTGTTCTCCAAGACTGGTAATACTGCAGCTGTCAAAAAACAAGAAAAACAAAATTGGAAAAAGAAAAATGTTTTTATAAATATTGAAAATGAATTCCTTTAAATCTACCAAAACTACAAACAGAATATTGTTTTATTTCATACATTTTTCTTTTTTACTTTTTTTGTAAGGTACATATATATAAGTATCTATAATTTTGTAGCAGTCTTATGAGAAATTTACGTGACGCAGTGACGCATTGATAGACTTTATTTTTTGTTCAGACTGTAGTTGTGTGGTGATTCTCTATTATTTCTCTTTATATCAGTTTTCCCACTTATTCTCTCATATTAATATGTATAATGTAGTATAAAATATATGTATACTGTACATATACTTTTGTATTTTTTTAGTTGCATTTTATAATCAGTCGTTTCGATACTTTACCAAATAACATAAAAATATCATAGGAAAAATAAGATTTATTTGATTTTAAAGTGAGCTTTATTTTACATAGTACTTCCTTCTCTTTGTATTTTTCATTTCTTTTGTAACTGTATAACAAAATTACACATTAATTTCCAGTAAGTATTTTTAAAAAAATACGAACAAATTCAAAGAAATTGTTATACATATGTTAATTGAATTTTTCTCAGTATGAAAATATTTAAAAAGTTTTTTTCAACGTTACACAGGCTATTTAACGCACAGGTATACGGTATATGGTATTGTACGCGTTATACATTGTCCAAATTAAAATTAATATTAAACTTTTTTTTAGCAATCCGAGGATATGTACAATGTATACATATTTAAATATGTATGTATGTACATTGGCAACCATTCATTTTGAAATTGACTTGAGTTTATATGTACATATGTTTAGCTATGTACCTATGTACATATGTACAATCAAAATGATATTACTAAATTTTCAAATTAATTTTTTCGGATGCTGAGTAAATTAGTAAACAGAATATAAACCTTTAATGCTTTTATAATTTAAACCACTTTAATAGTTTTGTATTCACATCGCATAACTTCAAATGTACTTTGTTAATGAATTTGATATCTTTATGTGTCAAAAATGTTATGTTAAAATGACATTCGTTATCGTTTGTATTGTTTCAACCAGAGTTAAAATTCATTTTTGAGCTTGCCAAAGAAGCAATTAACTTAAATGGACTTCGCCATATTATTTTTGTATTTATTCTATTTACATGAAGAGGGAAGCGTTTTAATTTCAAGTTACTTGAAAATTTCTCAAAAACAATGCTGTTTCTTTAAAAGTTTCGATTATTATTTATATTTGTAAAAATTAACCAATAAATTTAAATGAGATTTAACGTTTATTTTCGAGAAAAAAATATTAAAGCCAAGAATTTGACATTTATTTTCGGTAGAAAAATATTGAAGCCTTAACTTTCGCTTATTAATTTAACAACGTAAACAGAATATTTGTCTACACTCGAATCAAATCAAGTTTCACATTCCACTCAAATCAATGAAAATCCAAAAACATTTGTTATTAACATGTACATACATACATACAAACTTATCAAAAAGCCAACAATAATTTTTTGTCAAAATCAACAAAAAAAAATGCATTGAAAATGAGTTGCTTTGCTGCTTTGTAGTTCGTATTGTATCATTGTGAGTTGTGAGATTTTTTTATGATGCGCTACATAATATGCGCGTCCAATGCTGCATAACATTTGTTTTTGTAATATTTTATTTGTTTAATATTTTCTTTTCTTTTTATTTTTCGCTTTTTTTATACATTGGGGACTCTTTGGCAAAATACTCAACATTGAACAAATGCTTTTATATTTCACCTTGTTAATATGTACACACACACAATTCTCTAATATATTTTCGTAATTTTTTATGATTTTTATTTTCATTTTTGTTCAAAAAAAATTTTTTTTTCAGTTATGTGATTTTATTTTTGTTTTTCTTATGTCGTGTTGTTCTTCTTTGTTGTTTTTTTTTCAATTTCTGTTTTCTTTTAATACTTGTAATTTTCGTGCAGTATTCAACTGACAGTCGAACCCGTTATAAGTATTTTTATTTTTAGTGTGTATTATTGTGTTGTTTAGGGAAAAAGTCATATTGTGTAGTTAAATCCTAAAATGAGAGGAAAAAATTAATTTGAAAAAATAAAATATTTAAACATTTTCCTGAATAAAAATCATTTTTGCAATATTAATTTTAATTTAAATATTTAAAATTTTTTTTTATTTCCAATTTCTTTCATTATTTAAACACTTATTTTGTACAATTTACTTTACAAAATTTGCAATAAATTTCAGTTTTTTATTAATGATAATTATTTTATATGTACCTATTTATTTTTTAATATTGTCATTAAACCTAAATTATTAAGTGATAAACATTTTTTGAAAAAAATTAAGTATTAAAAAAAAATTATAACTAAATTTAATTATAAATGCACTTTGTTAGTAATCGTGACATAAATAAGAATTAGATAGAGAATCAAATAAAAACATGAAATTATTTTTAATAAATTACATATTTCAATAAAAAATATTAATTATAAATTTTGAATTATGTATATTTGAAATTGATTAACATATATTTAAATTTATTCAAAAATAAAGTTATTGTGAGATATATTAGAACAATTCAAAATACATACGTTACGAAAATATGATATAACTGAAATTTTATTATTTTAAAGTAAAAATAAAAGGAACCGTTAATAGTGGCGCTAGTGTCGTTATTTTAAATATTCTTTAATAACGGAACTTTTTTGACGTATATGAATACATACAAAAGTAATAAGATTTTGTTTTTGCAATCTAGTTACGGTTACTCAGCTTTTAAATAAACACCAAAGGCACTATTCAACAATAGGATCGTTCAATATACTAGATATACCTATACAAATATAAAATTTAAAGCAAAAAAAAAAAAACAACCAATAATAAAACTAAATACACATGTTATTTAATTTTAAAATTTTTAAATTTAATACCAAAACAGTATTTGTGATAAATTTATTTTTTTTGACTGTATTTTATGAAAATATTTAAGTGTGTGTGTGTGATATTATTAACTTTTTAAAAATTGATAAACATCATAATTTTCCCTATTAAAAAATCCTAATTTTAATAATAAAATTTAATATGTGAGAAAAGTAAATAATTCTTGAAATTTTTCTTTTGCTGAAAAAAAAAACACAAATCAAACGAAAACTAAAAAAGTCTTACAAAAAAAAAGCATTTTTTAACAATGCTCTTATCACTGTTATCAGTGTTGTGGTTCCATCACTTTTGATTTCCTCTTTTTATCAAGTTTGTTATGTTATTTGCTCTAAATATACTTCCGAAACAAATTAGTAAAAAAGAGAAAAACTAAAAATATTAACAAGGAAAAAAGAGAAAGCTTAAAAACTTAAAGAAAAATAAATATTACGTTTTAATTTAAATAAAAAACACTTAAGTATAAAGTTAATGTGTAACTTATGTTATTTATGGTAGCAGAAAAACTTAACATGTTTCTGAAATGTGGAGGGTAAGATTTTTGATTGCAACACAATTAAATGCTACTTATATTTAATTATTAATTGATTTTAATGAAAAATTCCAAAATAATGGGACAAAACTGTCTTCACTGCAAATTCAAAATGACTCAAATTGGCTAAAATGTTTTCGGGTAAACTGGTTGTTCAAAGTTGATGCTAGAAAATCTGAATGCGCAAAATCAGTGATGCATGCGACAAAATATATACTTATTTATGGAAATTAATTTTATTATCAAATGTTTGATCGAATGACGCGGCGTGACTGATAACTTATCGATTCTTCGTTGGTTTTTAACTATTTAAGCACAAAATAGTTAAAATATATATGTAATTAATTTTAACTCATGTTTTTTTTTTCTTAAAAATCACATTTAGATTAAAATTTCTTTGCATTAACAAGCATTTCAATGCATGAAATTTTCTTAGTTTAAAAAATCACCTGTACAAAATGTGTGAAACACAAAAATTGTTTTGAAGACTCATTCTTATGCGTATTCACTACACCGGAAGTTGTTCTTCGTAACGTGAACTTTTTAAAAACTATACATTCAACACATATATAAATCATAAACCTGAGAGAAAATGTCATTGGTTAATGTAAGGTGTTCTTTGGAAAACTGGTACCATTTAAAGACAAGTGACACTTTTAGATAAGATAACATTAAAATATGTTTATGTACTTAATTTTTTTTTCTTCTAAAAAAATCAGTTCTGCTTTCGTTAAATTTTCTAATTAGTTTTAAATTGTCAAAATTGCTAATTTCATTGTCAAAATATTCATCCTAAATTAGAATTTATTTTAAATTTGTGTTTGGCTCTGACTTTTTATTCAATTATGAATTTTTTATAATTATTTTCTTTAAAACCAAGTAAATTGCAAGTATGAAAACTTTTGATACTTTTCAAAATACGTACAACATTATAAGAAAAATAATATTATTTATGTGCGATACGTTTATATGCATACACACTTATATACATAGGTGTATTTTTAGGTGTTTTAGGTTTCAAGTAGGCAATATTTTGTAAGTTTGCGCAATCGCAGTATTTTTTATATTGTACATTCAAGGAAAAAAGTGTACCCATAAGTACGCAAAAAAAACCTAACAAAAATTTAGTATAACGAATGGGTTATTTAGTACCACATTTATCTTTAACAAATGGTTGAACCTAGAAAAATAATTAAGTTTATTAACAGCATTATTGTTTACGTAAATAAACTCTAACGATAATTGCAATACATATGCATATATTCCATTAATTGTTTTATAAATATGAGAAATTCCCGATCATACTGAAAAAAGTCATCTAATACTAATTATAATAAGTGCATTTCAAATTAGAAACATTGCTATTTTGGGTTTAAAATATTGCCAAAAGTTCAGTTAACTTCTTATTTGTTTCATAGTGTTTATATTTTTTATCCTATATAACAATATAGGTTTTAATTCCGACTCAATTCAAATTCCGTTCAATTGGAATTTTCCGTTCAATTAGAAATGAAAGAGTTTTACAATTGCAAATGGATTTGCCACTTTCAAATATTTAATATACATGCACTTGCCTATCAAATTCAACTGTTAATCAGTTCACTAGTTCTTGTTTTACATAACTTTTCTCAGCTATTGTCGTAGTTTGTAATAAAATAGTAAATGATACAAAGAGTAAAACTAAGGAAGTCTCAATACGATCTATATCAGCATTGCCTTCTCTAAAAGGGCCTCATGAAATCTAAGATTTTGTTTGTTATATATGCATAATTCAATACAGAATTCGACACATAGGTAGTATTCGCAAGTAGGTATTTCGAATATTTATTTATTCAAAATAATAAATGAAATAGCATGTATGGCAACCACCGAAAATGATAAACATTTGTAAGGAGGTAAAGATTTAAATTAATTAGATTTAACTTAGTTTTGTTACATTTGTTAAGTTAATTACATTTGAGTTGCACGAACTCATTTATTTTGAATTTTAATGTCTGTACTATAACATACCAATGGAAAATACTGCGATTGAGAGGAAATAGCCAGTTATAGTAAAATTACCTTATGTGCCTAAAGTAGATAGAAGAATTTTGACTTTCGGAAACAGTTTAAAAATAATGTCTAACAATCTTAATTACGCATAAAATATTTTGTGTGTCAATATTTCGGAACTTTCTTGAATAATAATGTAATTTAAATAGTTGCATGTACATACTTTTTATTAAATAGGAAATAAGTACTCTAAAATTTTACAAGTACTTAAAAATTTAACTTAATGGATTGCTTATATTATTGTATCTTTAAAGATATAAGAAATGACGAATGACCATTTAAATTGTTAGTTGAGGTTTTGCCTTTTTATACCGATATGAAGTAATGTTGAAAGGGTATTATAAGGTTGTCACTCCGTTTATAACGCTAAGATAAAGTCTTCTGATATAAAGGCGGTTTTGATTTTGAATCGATTTAGCAATGTCTTTCCGTTCGTCCATCCGTTTCAGCGATAACTCTACAACAGATCAAGCTTAGCTTACCAAATTTTAACAATTTGCTTTTAAAAGTCATGGTACGAAATCTGTTAAATTTGGGTTTGACTAAAATATCGATATTAGTACCTGTCAAAGTAATAAAATACTTCCAAAAATAATACTTCTACTAATATAATCGATAAAGGCTATAAAATATGAATAACTTCTAAACTGGAAATGCGAACGCTTAACTTAATAGAAAGACGCAGCTGCAAAAACTAAAAATTTGACATTAGCATAAAATAAAGCTTTTTTAGTTATAAATGTTCTAAGATTGTCATAATATGTTTTTTAAAGTTTCAAAAGTGAAACCACAAAATTATAAAATATTTAATTATTTGCAGTTCACTGAAATATAAATTTAAATTTTTCATTAAAGTAAAAACAAAATTTAAAAGCAACTTCTTTTTATAAATTCTGTAAATCTGATCTTATTTTTTTAGAACAAAAAAGTTTTCGCAGCAGTAAAATCAAAACTGAGTTGTTGCTGAGTATATCTTAAAAATCTTGTTGTAGTTATGTTTAGATATATTAAAAATCTACAAATGCAGACTAAACTGGTCGTTATAAAACAAACTGCAGAAATAGTACCACATTATCATTTTGACAGTACGCGTGCAATACTTGATTATCAAACGTAGGACACATTTAGTACTAAGTTGGAACTGAATTACTAAAAATGCAGAATGTTAAATTTTTATAAACTAGTTTGCTAATAAATTGTAGTTGCACAATTACTTACTGTATTTACAACTCAAACAATAATTAAATCGTACCTCAAAAATTTTAAGGCCTAACTGCTTAAATTTTACTGAAACAAGTTTAATTTTTAAACGGTTAAGATTCTAATTAAATGTTAACAGAATCTTTAGGATTCTCCGTTTGATGAATTAAAAAAGTAGTACGAGTATCACAGAGTTGACATGGTCAACTGTTCTTTCCTCGCTTTTCTTTTTTTTTGGAATAAGAATATTTATACAAATATAAATATTCTTATGCCAAAAAAAAAAAATAAAACCAAGAGAAAAAAAATAAACGCAGAATTTTAACAAAAAATAATTCTCACGGGAAACATTTGCAGCTTAGACATTTTTTTCTTCTTGTTTGTATATTTTCACTTTTTGTGGTACGTGAATGTTAAATGTTATGTTAACTCACATAATGTAATTTTCTTGCATCTCTCTAAAATGCAAGGGTATTATGTACTTTATAGAATACACTTGATTTCGATTTATTTCAAAAGATCTTTTTATACCTGTACGAACGTGTGTTCGAAGGATATACTAAATTTGCCTTACCGTTTGTAACGCTAAGAAATAATGATTTGAGATATAGACACAAATGTATGATTTTGATCAGCGTGGAATTCTGAGTCGACTTAGCTTTGTATGTTCGTCCGTCCGTTCATCCCAACGATGGCTCAAAATTTGAGTTAAGTTAAGAACCCTATTTAAATTGGATATGATCGAGGTACTGGCTCGGGTAGCTGCTATACAACTTGAAAATTTATTTGACTATATCTTAGAAACTATAAAAGCTGTGGTTTGAAATTTTGCACAAGTAGGTATATTAGTAGCGCCAATGTGTTTGACAAAAGTTGTTGAAATTGTTTGGCTCGTTCTGGTAGCCGCCATGCAACTTCAATAGTAGTTTGGCCATATCTTAGAAAATATTGAAAACACAGTACTGAAATATGAAATAACAACTTAAAGTCATAGTCTGTCCCACAGTCAGCTGTGGCATATTTAATTGCACATAGGATAACAAATTCTTACGGTTCTTACAGAGTTGACCGCGGTCAACTCTATTTTTTCTCGTTTTACTCTCAAAATTGCAGATGAAAGTATAGATGAATAGTGTCTTGGAATTGGAAATAAAAATATTTTGTGGTATATGATTTTCGTTATGAAAAAAGAATAAAAAACGTAAATTATTCTTGTGGTCAAATTACAATAATTCAAATATTAAAATTTTATTAAAAGAATGTATTTAGTTCTTTAAATACAAGTGGTATTTTCGTGATTACTTTGGTTTGAAAGGTTCCTCTACCATTTATCTATTTTTCAATTATATATTTTATGTGAAGAATATGTACATTTACGGTTGGCCAAATGAAGAGCGAAATAAAATGCTTCCTCAAATGATGGCATTATAATTAAGACAGGCCGTTGCAAGATGAAAAAGTTTTTGTGTTTTAACATTTTATATTAGTAAAGTTTGTCTGCCTGGCTAAGAGCTGTGGGGATCAAAATTTCTACAAATTCCTTAGTTGAATAATTGCTATACAAAAAAAATTTACTTTGATTTCAAAAACAATATACAAAAGCTAAAATACTAGTTTCTTTAAATAATTTCATTAATGAGAGTATTAACTATTTCAAAAAAAAGAATTGGTTGTTGCTGTCCAAATAATTTAGTTCCAAAACACAGAATTCAAAGCAGAACTCCCAAATTTCATACAAACACGTACGA